GAAGAGCGTATTCCCGCGAAACTCACGTCTTGGTCGTTTTTTCAAAGAGATCTGTCATTCCGCGCGCGCGCGCGGAGATATAAATACGCGACGACGACGGCCGCGGCCGGCGCCGCGTTCCTCGGAAAGCGGAATCCGCCGCGAGCGACGACTCCGCTTCTCTCATCTGACCTGCCTGCCCGATTTATAAACTTATGCATATATGTATAATGTGAGCGACTTTCTCACGTTTTCCCGAGAAAATTGAACACTTCCGGTGAATATATTTCCGTTCCGAAATCTGTATATTTTGGTAATGCACATATTACGTGTCCGTGTATACACGGAGTCTCGTTGTAAACAGGTTTAGATAGGTTCGCTAAAAATATGCATTCTTAATGCACGCGCCAACGGCGGCTCTTATCAGCTTAAGTTTGTATGAAATACATATTACGTCAACGGTCCGTTCAACTTGAGGGCAGAGTCGTAAGGCAACGTTATCGATCATGAAAATGTCAATAAGTTTGATGATAATAAAAATTAATTATAAATGTACGCACGGAGTTTTCCTTTTAATTTTCTTATCAACGTCATTATTATCAGCATATGTTACATGTGTGTGCAAAGACACTTTTATGAAAACGTTGCATAATTTTAAAAAAAATAGATAGCACAATCAGAGAATAATTTCTTATAATTATATCCACGATTTGAAAATTAAGGCTAGTTTTCATTTGCCTCTTTTTATGATAATATATGAGATGGCAACAAAAAAATATTCTAAATTATATACAAATTTTCAGTTTTCCTATTTTGAATATCTAAAGAACAATTTTTTCTTTTAATTAGCAATTAGTAACTTTAAAAAATGTTGAAGCAATACCGATAGATTTTTACTTGTAATTAAGCTTAATGATTCTATTTTGATGGCTTTGATGGCTTTGATGGCTTTCCTAGAACATACTTAATTACGAAAATCGCAATATAAAATTTTCATTTGTACAGCATAATCGATTGATAATACGTTGCGAATCGAAGACGCAATCATGACGCGGCGCGACGCGATTAAAAGGAGCCTCCGCTCCTTATCAGTTTCCCTATTATTCTACGATTTGTTGTCGATGCCGCTGCGGATCCACAGCTGCGAACAACGGATAAAACCGGTCGCGAGGAAGCAGCGAGCGAGCGGGACGATCGATTTATCGGCGAGATAAAGTGCGCCGGCGACAAACCGGCGATACCGTTCTCTGATTTCGCTGTGCTTCGAGCTCTGCAAATAAGACACTCGATTGTTGTTTTCACGATAGGATATCGATTGTTCGCCTTTACGTTACATGATCGCCGTTGGATTCCCTCGCGAGCAAAAATCATCGCGCGAAATTCACCTCGAAGGAGCGTACATTCTACCAGGCTAAAAATATAACTTATCAGAGAATTTGTTCCTTTTTTATTGTTTTATCGATTTCAAGACTGTGACTTCTGATTTACAACGTATACAGTCTCGATATTCCTTAACATGATAGCGGTTAAACTCATGGCTTCAATTCGGAACGCTATTATTATTATGGACAGAGCTGGGTCACGAGAGACCGAAGATGCAAGATTCAAAGAGTGTAACGCGAATTAAATATTGTTTTGTAGTTAGCAGTCGTTCGAGAATGAACGTTCTTGAATAAAATTTTTTTCATTCCTTTTTTCTTACAAAACTCTATTAAAAGATTATTATAAGATTAGATTATTTATTATAATAACATTATTTATTATAAGATTAGAAATTAAAACTCTATTAATTTTAACTCTATTAAAAGATTGATATTTATAACTCTATACATTTTAACTCTATTAAAAGATTAACAAGCTGAATTGTGCAAATTAGAAACTTGCACATTGCCTCTTCATCATTTTATCTCACAAAGTTTAAGCTCCTTTAAGCATGCCATTTTTGTCAATTTTTGCTTCCTCATAGAGGAAGCTTTGTGAGCGAAATAAAAAGATAAAGAAGCAATCACCGATCCTCACTAAATTCAATACCAACCATCCTTTAATAATAATCTATCCATATAAAAAAATTTAACCCGATATCACAAAATTTGTGAAAGTTACAACGTATACAAGCATTCTCCAAAAATTCAAAATTTTATAAAAAATGAACCTTTTCACCGATCGTCACCAAATTCAATACCAATCGTCCTTTAATAATACTCTATCTATGTAAAAAAATTTAACTAGATATCTCAAAAATTGCGGAAGTTAGCGGTTGCACAACAAATCGCGTACATACACACTCACACACACATACATATATACATACATACATACATACATACATTTTTTAGGAATATGATTTTTCGACGTTTTCGAACATTCTGAACACATTGACATTAAAAACTCGAAAAAAGATTTTGTCACGAAAACAAAGCTTCCTCTATGAGGAAGCAACATACATACATACATACATACATACATACATACATACATACATACATACATACATACATACATACATACATACATACATACATACATACATACATACATACATACATACATACATACATACATACATACATACATACATACATACATACATACATACATACATACATACATACATACATACATACATACATACATACACACACTCACACACACATACATATATACATACATACATACATACATACATTTTTTAGGAATATGATTTTTCGACGTTTTCGAACATTCTGAACACAATGGCATTAAAAACTCGAAAAAAAATTTTGTCACGAAAACAAAGCTTCTTCTATGAGGAAGCAATATTTATAAATTTTACAAGTGCAATTATTTAAAGCGAATATCCGAGCTCCGACACATACATAATTGAACAATTAATCTTCGTAGAATCGTTTTTGCGGCGTTTTCCTCTTAAAATTAAAACTTGAATAATTCTGTTAGAATAAATTATTCAATCGCACGAAACTTTGGAAACTTGGTATGCGACACTAACAATGTGTTGCGTAATATTTTCACGGGACGTTTGTGTGAAAAACAGATTACTATTATGCCAACAGATTTTACTATGATGCCAACAGAGAACTGTTCCGTATTATTTCAGTATGAAAGAGGAAGAGAATCGGAGTTGGAAAGAAATTAAATGCTGAATTTTCCTGCTGTATTCTTCCATCATTAATAACACATATCTGTAAATAGCCATTTGCATATTTGCGAAAATCTTGTCTTCTATTGCAGTGTCTTATGCAATATGCATCATACATAATTGATTTTTTAATAATTTCTAGCCAATTTGGAGGCGATTTTCTGTTATTGTTAGCGAAAATGTCGAGGCATCAATAATTTCCTAGTCACAAGCGATTGAAAAAAAAAGACTTCTCATAAACTATATACTTTGTTAAAATTTAAAGATTGACAAAAATACATTCTTCAATTAATTTTAGACGGATTTTTTACTTCAATAGAAAATACTAATTTGGGGCTAACAATTAGTTACAAAGATATATAGTGGAAAAAATTGGAAAATCTTATAAAAACTGATGACTTTTCTTCGGAAGCTTTGAGGAATTATTTTAACGACCGACTCTTTAATCTCTTTTTTTTCTCATAAATGTCAATCGTTGAGAAAGAGATGCTACATATTTACATTATCGCTGGTACACCATGGAATATAATAATGATTTATCGGAAACTCAACAATGTCGCTTCTTCATGTGTCATGATCTCATAAATTCGCTAATAAACGAATGTATGCTTTCCCTCACGCTCATCCCCTACATTCCTCATGTGTTTCCTAGACTGGCAAGTTAGTTGTACCATAGCTCGGATACGAGTCACATCCATCGCGACTGTCTTTCCTTCCTGTATTCCGTTAATTTTCCTCTTGATGTATATATAAACGAACTTGACATTATAACATTTGTTGTTTCAAGCTTCAATATAAGACTTTTGGAAATAATTATAATCAAAAGATTTTTATCATCTTTTGTTTCGAAAGATCTTTCCTTGTTACCGATAAATCGTTTTATTAAATTTTAATATATTATTAATATATACGTCCGCGTAGCATTGCTCTATAGTAACATCAAATGTTTAGAAAAGGATTTAAACGCGATTAATTTAATAATGTTGGAGTTAAGGATTGATATATGTACATGAGATTTTAAGATTCCCTTTAATCGAGTTTCTTTTATTTTTCAGTGAAAATACAAAATATTGTTTTTAATACCTCCAATATACGATGTCTGAGAGGGATGCCTAATAAAATGAATCAATGTTTATCCTACGGACCAGACATTGCGTCGAGGCGTGTTGGGTGCCGATGTGCGTCGAATATATCTAGTATGTCAAGATTGCCGTTTCCGGTCGGCGATTTCGTGATGTACAACGACAATTGTGTTGCACCTAGAACCGATAGTGTCGTTTTGTCCGAAAAAGAGGAAACCATCACGACGACTTCAGAAAACGAAACAAATAACGCGGCTCGCTTGTCGCAAAACACTTTGCCGTCTCATAGTGCCTGTCCAGCTGATCAGTGCTCGAGTGAAGAAAATGATCGTCCTACGTGTAACTGTAATTGTATAATAAATCACCGAAATCAAAATCATATACAGAAGAAGAGTGCGAGAAGATACCTTTACTTGTGTATATCTTCGACAATGAAATGCTATTTCAATAAAATATTTCGATTATCGATTGCACAAAGACGAGACCATTCATGGGGAATTAGATGGATATTTATTGTCTTGAGTTGTCTGTTCTTGATAGTGAATGCAGCCAACGAATGTGCAATTGGAATCGAAACACCAGGATGTAAGTTTCATTGAAATAAGATAAATTCTTTATATAGCGTACGATACTTTTCTTTTATTTTTATAATTAAAATTGCTATGCATAACGCGGTAAATCTCGCATATAACTCGACAGATACCTTTCAAGTTTTGCGAAAAATTTTGCGTTTCTTTTATTAGTTTAAATAATTTCGTATTTTTGGTTTTTGTATAACTCATAAATATGATATAAATACAGAATCAAATATCTTGTCTGTGCACATATAAGAGTTTAATTGATAGAATAATGCAAATCATGTCATACACACGAATAGTAAATTATCAACTTATATTTTTATAAAGACAATTTTCTTTTGGTTTTATCACAAATGGTTATATACAAATATATAATACACACAAATTTCAAGGCAGTGCATATATTTGTATTTATGTGTGCATTGTAAAATAGAGATAACATATAAACTATTTGCTTTCGGTCTCTCCCGCATGCGTTTAGTATGCTAGGATTATAAAGAAAACACACGTCTCTTATCTTTCTTTATAAAATTCTAGTTTCAAACTAAATGCATACATCTATATTTAACGCCAGCAATATAGTTGATACTGAAATTATCAATATGATTGGAGTATACAACGTGTATCATCTCTCTTTAATGTATTTTTATATTTTATGATGTTATAATATTGCGTGTATAATATGTTATAATATATTCAACACACGTTATATATTATATGTAGAAGGACCTATGTATACTTCCATTAAAGTTATATCATACATATTTCTTTAAAGAACTCACTTATTCTCGCGTTAATCTATTATTAAGTAAGTAAACATTATAAACAATAATTGTTTATAATGTTTAAAAACTTAAAAAATATTTTGGAATATTTAATAAATATTACTTTATTTTTCGTCATAGGGACAGTACCGCGAGGTGACATTATTATCAAATATGGTAACCCACTACGAATTATGTGTATGTTAAATGAAACATACGTAACTAAACATTTCCCGGGTAAAAACTCTTCGAACCTCATCTTCTTTCGCAATGATAAAAGGATGGAACAGGAATACATTACTGTAATCAATAGAACAACAATAATGTTGTACAATGAACTACCACCACCTGGTGATAATATGTATTATTGCCAATTGAATCTATCCGGCAAAGACGTAGGTGTTTGTCTGAATAAAGTTGTAATTGGATGTAAGTAATCGTATTTATTTGTGAATTATCTTTTTCATATATTTTTAAGCTATATATTTCTTTAAGAAGGATTGTTTCCTCTTTAGTTATAATATCAGTCATCCGGTTATATACTATCTATCTCTATTCTATTTTTGTTCCATTTCTATAAAAGAAAATGTTCTTTATCATATACTTGATATGTAATCTGAAAAATTTTCTCAAGAAAATATAGAAATTGTATTATTTATAATCAATACGTATCTGGAATATAAATTTTTTCTATAGTAAAAGTACATACATCCAACCTTATCAGAGCACGACATTCGACGGTGTTTTGTGGAAACAACACAGTGCATTGATTCTCTTTTCATCAAAATTATGAGTGAACCGTTTGACATATATATGTCTTAGAAACCATTTTACTATCGTCGACGATAAAGATAACTAAAAAGGAGACATTGTATAATATTAAGAGTTATTCATAAGTAATTCCTTATCTTGTAGAATTTGTACATTGAGCTATTTCTACTCGTTTGAAAAAGCGATGTTCGAGATAAATGCATATAAATTATACATTGATTTATATATTTATTTAAAAAGTTATAATTCTCTCATGTAATTTATATTGTATATATTGCTTTAAATTGCATTTATTGTATATATAATGTATTTATAGAAACTGAGAATTTATATTTAGAGAAGTAATTTCTAATAGGACTGATACACAAAAACAAGTTATGACAATGTTTATGAATGCAAATATGAATAAAGACAATCGCGTCGAAATCTATTAGCGAAGATATATTAAAGTATATACACATATCGAAGGATATATTTAAGAACTAATTGTGTAATTATAAGAGATATATATTCCTCTTTTTTATGTAATATATTTTATTTGTTCGGCAGATGAACCTAAAGCGCCAAGCAACTTTACTTGTAGATCCTATAATTGGGAGAATATCACATGCACATGGGATACGCAAAAAAACTTCATCCAGACAACCCACGAATTAATGTTTAAATTCAATGGAGGTAGGCGAGGAGCGCGAAGATTCTATCCTTGTCCTGGAGAATATACGAAGAAGAATTCATGCTCTTGGACTCAATATAGCAGTCCAATGTACAGGCAAACGTACGAAAACTATACGTTTGTAATGTACGTTCATAATCAGTTTGGCAATGTAACCGACATACATAAAATCGATCATTTTGCTCAAGGTTTGTAAATTTTTTATTAATCATTGTACTATTTCTTTTCATGTCATATATAATAATTAATTAGAAATATATGATCTTTGAATATACTATGTATTTTTGTCATCTAAGAGTGAAATTATGTTACTATTTTCAGTTATCCCTGCGAAACCCATGAGTCTTTCGGTGATTAACAAAACGTCGAATAGTGCAACATTGTGTTGGGAACTCCCCTTCCCGTTACAAAATTTTCCACCTGGTGTAATTCATAAAGTTATGTATCAGAATCAATGGGATCATAAAAAAGATTGGAAGGTACAATCATTTTACTACATCATCAGCAGTATCTTCTAGGACTTTTCTTTTTAGGACAATTCATTGATTTATCGTAATTATGTGTAGTTTAAGAAACGATAGTAATCTTGATTGAGCAGTATCTTTTCCACAGGTTATCATTATTGATACGGAACCTCGTTTGAATAGGAGATATTTCAATCTTACCGGATTGGAATATGCTAATACTGTGTACGATGTTCGCGTTTTTTTAAGAAGCGCCAAGGCCACAGGAGAGAATATGTATAGTGAGCCTGGTGTTGTTACATTCAGGACATTACCAACGTGTAAGTAGTAGATTTATCAAGGAAGAGAATCTATTATTTTCGGTTTACTTTCATTTTATTTATATTTATATGATGAATGTAATTAATATTTTAATGTATAATAATTATCATAAATAGATTATAATTGAATAACATATTTGTTTTATTCTGTCATTTAATTTAGTACCTAGCTTTTCTCCGCGAACCGATATTGGTAGCTTCGAAATTGTCGAGAACAATGGGAACAGGGACATATATTTGTATTGGCAAATGATACCGCAATACTTAGAGAATGGTGATAATTTTAAGTATCAGGTCAATTATGTGGAAGAGAATGGTCATAAAATAACTCTCGAACCGATCGAGACGACCAAGACATATGCTAAGTTTAAGGGACTTACCTTCAATAATTACCGGTTTAAGATTGCCTCGATGAATAAGGTCGGCATTAATAAAAATTATACGGAAATAGTAATACCGAGTCGAGATGAGAGTAAGTATATCAAGAAGGCTAGATGATAAAAATAACATTTAAATATATATCGAATAGTTAACATGAAACATTTCTCTCAGTGCCACATGAACCGATAGCGTTCACGAAAATGGCTTTCGAAGGAGGATTGTACGAATTGTCTTGGAAGCCGCCAATCATGCATAAAAATATCGCAAATTATACCATTTTTTGGTGTGATAACGAGCGCGATCGTCCTTATCAGTGTACAGTATGTATCTGTTTTCTTTGTTATTTATTCGCAGAATAACTTTGCGCGCAAATTAAAACGATATGTATTTGCAGGGTTATTTGAACTGGACACATGTATCCATGAATACTACGGTCTACAATATAACCGTACCAGATCCGGACAAGGTGTACCAATTCGCGATTTCCGCGAATACGAATAAGGGCAGTAGCGGCATGATATGGTCGTCTTGCACGGTGATTCATACAAAGGTGCTCGGCAAAATGAAGTCCGTATGGATTAATCGTATTGGATCGGATTTCATCGAAGTCGGATGGAAGCTTGACTGTTCAGATCGCATTGGGATCGTCGAAGGATTCAAGATTTATTACTGTCCCATCGTGTCGCCATTAGATACCAAGTGCAAGGGACCCAAGCTCAATGTCACCATCAAATCCTATCCACCCATGATAAGCGGTATTGTCAAACACTTGACGCCCTATACTACGTATATGCTGGGAGTCACAACGGTGACCAAGAACGGCGAGAGTCAGCCGAGCGAGCCCTTATATAACACTACTCTTGAGGCGGCACCCAGTACTTCGCCTTTGAATGTAAAAGCCATCAATATCACCAATACGACGATGTTTATTACATGGCAGTCACCGCAGGCGATGAACGGCGTGCTCAGATATTACGAAGTTCACTATAATGATTTCATGAAAAAAGTGGAAGAGGGGAATAGTACTAGATTGACAGGCTTATTGGCATACACTGAGTATAACATTAGCGTTACCGCCTGTACCGTGGCGTGCAGCGAGAAATCATTGATGATAAAACAGCGTACGAAGATTGGTATTCCCGATAAGATTGGCGTACCAAAAGTGCGCTTCATGAACTCGAGCCAAGTGATCGTCACGTGGCATCTACCACAATATCCTGCCGGTCCGATAGCTTATTACGAGATAGAGAATAGTTCTGGCGAAATTCATAATGTTACTAAACTGGGTAAGATTTGCGGCTAAAAGAATTTATGGCTAAACTAAGCTAAGTCAAGATAAAATTATTTCTATTAAACACACACACTATTTAACTTAATTAAATCTCTTTTATTCTGTTTTCTATAAATTTTTTTCTCCATTACTTCTTTACGTGTGCGACAAATGTGTGATGAAGTAATGGAAAACCAGTGCAAAAGGAAAAAAATGAAAAAATATGAAAGGAAGAATATTAAAGTTTTATTATATTGCTGTTGTTCATATTGCAGAAGCGCAACTGTCCATCCCTGATTGCAAGACTACGGATCAAGAGGGACTGAACAAGTTTCGGGTTAGAGCCATTAACATTGGCTCGAATAATGAACGTTTGACGGGACCCTGGTCCGAAACTGGGGAAGGAAATTGTTATAGTAATGGTCAGTATTTTATTTGACAAGAAGGCAAAATTTATTATGGCTATCCATATTGTTATATATAAATGTTTGTGTGTGTGCTTTCTTATAAAATTGATCACATTCGCGGTATTTGCGATACTCAGGTACACGATGCAACGCACACATTAACAACATGCGAATAAAATAAAAATAACATTTATTTAATGAGCGAGAATTATATGTTTATAAAATTAAACAACTTTTTAACAAAAGATAATAAAATGTTCAATATATTTGTTTCCGGATATAAATTGCGATCGCACGATGTTTAACTGAATCGGAAACTGAGTCGAATCTTTTTTTATTTGTCAATATTACTCGATGTCTAGATTGTTTGACTATATCTCTTTTATCATCTTAAGCGAAGTATTGATTTTTCTTGCTATCGTGATTTTTTTTATTTCAATTTGGTGGATACAATAGTATCAAACTCACACTCTTGGTGTAGATATTATTCTTATTAGTGAATATATATTTTCTGCGTAACAGGACTATCACAAGCAACAGCAATAAGTTTATGGGTTGTTGGAGTTATCCTCCTGGTAGCAGTCACTGCATGCTGCGGATGTGGGGCAAAAAGGTTAGAGTAGAGCACAAAATTGTAATTTTTTTAAAACACAATATTATATAATTATACAGTTATAATTTTTTTAAATTACGAAAATTTTTATATTCAATTATAGCTGTTTTAATTTTATAGTTTAATAGTTTAATATACTTTATATTATGTACTCTCTTTTTCTTATAGACTGTGGTTGAAATATCAAGATATGCAAGATATTGAAGTGAAATTACCGCCTGGTCTCACTTCAAACATGGTAAGAGAGATTGTTTTGTACTATGTTGATTGATATTATGAATACAAAACTGAAAATTATAATATGACGATTCTATATCGATTTTGTCCATATACAGACGCTGCTTCGCAAGGACGGCGGACCACATATACGACAGCCATCTGCTGATTCGAGCGGCTGTTCGAGCGGCCAAGAATCTGTCACCTCATCGCTCACAACGACCGAATTTCAAATTTCCAGCGATAGCGGTACTGAGGTAGATCCAGTGCCTACGTCACCCGATAAGCTGCTCGAGACTCTGTCAAACTGGGAGTCGAATTCTGCCAGTTTGCGACAAAGGAGCGTTTCACGAGGACCGGAGACTACGTCCCGCTGTAGGGAGTCGTATGTCCCAGTTAAAACCGGCGACTCGAATCTCAATGAGATTCTATCTCTAGCGCGATCCACTCCAAATTTGGCAGACAGTACAGGCAATACAATGACGCCGCAGACATGGCCCAGTACCGGTTACATCAGCATGCTGTCTTCCGAGGATTTGTCGGGTAATCCGAGCCCTACGTCGCGGGGGAATACTGTTATCAACGCCACCGGCTGTTATAGCGTTGTCGGTATACGTCGTATACGAATGCCCGTACAAGCCACATCTGAAGAAGACGGTGACGACGGTATAGACAATGCAGGAACCGTACATGACACCTTGATATCGAACAAACAGGGAACGAAGCTCATGCATAATCTGTATCTGCCACTTGTCATGGGCAAAAAGGAAATGTCATCGAAAGCTAATGCTTTCAATTTGGACAAGCTGGGCACTTTCATTGAATCGGACAAATCCGAGGAAGATGCATTGATGTCGCATCTTACTACTTCCGACAAGACGATGACGTCCAAGCCGTTTTTTCAGCCTACTCTGATAGACACAATGCATAAACCGCTCGCTCTGCCGAGCTCGATCGAGCAGCCCGAGAAGAGTAACATTAGCAGTTCTTTTGCGTCGACGTCTTTCCCGGATTCTTCCAACGAGCCGTTTGTATCGTCATTCGTGAGTCCGACATTGCCTGTCTCGTCAATTTCGTTAACCGACACCGCCTCGACCTCGACCTTGACTTCGACGAACCCACATGTCAGTGATCAAAGATCGGCACTCTCTGAGACATCGAGATTTTTGGTGTCTCGCCCTAAGGACAATAATGAAGAAACGTTGAAGATGTCTCACGCCTCGCACAATTCGACGCCAAGTGAAAGCTCCTCTGAATCATCTGTGAGTTCTATGCATCAGATGTTACAGCAACAGCAAGAGAATATGGAGTTTCCATCCATAAACATAATAGAAGAGATTCAAGAGATGGAAGTCGAGGAAGATTCCACGCCGACCGTGAGGCTAAATTCGCACATTATACAACCAATCCTCATAAAGCATAAAGAGAACTCTGACTATGTTATCATTGCCGACCCCAGTACAATACATCAAAAAACAGCAATCAACCAATCGGATGAGCAGTACAGCAAAGTGACGGTTGTACCAAGTAGTACGATGCAGTGAAAAGAGAAACGCACTTTTGTCGTGTTTCCTTCTTTTTTCTTGTGAAGATGATTTCACCAATTGCATAGATGAACGAAATAAGTTACAATGGTAAGGTAAGATTTAATAAGATAAGATATTTCGCATACATATATGATCATACGATGATAGGAGACTGCAATATTGCATGTGTGTTAAAACGCAGATAGCAATGAGTTCTTCTGCAATTATAAAAGAAGTTAAGAAAGGATGTCGGGAAGCGAAATCTTTAATGCGATCCAAAGAAAATAATATTTGGAGGAAATTCAATCCTCCGTAGATTCATAATATCGTTGTCTTGAAACGATATGTTTTATTCTTGCGTCAAGATCGAGATTAATGAAGATGAGATATAATCAAATGAAAGAGCGCGCTGGCTTGGGACACCGACAAGATATCATTAAAGACCGATGATCTTATAAGATTTAGCGTGATTGGAAAAAAACTCGCTGCGCACTCAAAATCTCGCCATTGTAGGTAAGAAAATCTTTGCATTGTCGATGATACAACAGTAATTTGGTACAATAAAATGTTTATTTTGTCGTTCTTGAGGCAATTACATAAAAGATCAATACATTTTCGATAATAAAATATTAACTGGATGAACTAAAATAATTGCATGAATTTAAATAACTCGTATCTATCTTCAATATAGTCAAAACGGCCGATAATGTTATCAATCTTTTAGGGGATCAAAAAAAAAAAAAAATAAATAAATAAACAATAAACAATTATCTCCGGGTCTACCGGGCCCACTTGGTAGTCACGAAAATTTACATAGGGTCAACGGTCTTTAATAGTATCTCTTCGTTGTTCGAGATCAATTAGGACATTCATTTCTTGCTAAAAAGTTTCCAATAAACTTAAACGTTTAAAAAAAATTCTTTCTTAAACAGTTATTATCGTAAAACAGGATGTTATGCACAAAATACACAAGAAATATATGATCTATAGAGTGTTTTAAAAGTAATTTCAAGATAAAATTATCTAAGAAAGTATTTTTCTATACATATATTGAAATCTTGTTCCTAAGAATTAGATTTCTTATTCCCCTTATCCCAAGTTAGTGCTTCTCTATTTGATTGCATCTTGTGTATACAAATATTTAAAACTTTATTTAACCCAGCAAAAATTCTTCGCACTGCATGCGATTAATTAAGGGTTAATGTTGTTTCTGTCGATGATTGATTCTCAAACTTCATTGCGTCCATCATCGCCACTATGAAAGCAACAAATGTATACAAATATTCTTCCGAACGATCTCTCGATACTGCTGTTAACGAAACATCTACAATGCACTTGCGGACATTTTCATTCATTTTGCGTCACAGAATTATGGTTGCTCAAAAAGAAGCAAAAGTGATACGTTTGAAATTACTGCAACTACAACGACAAGAATAACATCAATTTTTTTTATATAAATTTTCTATTTTTTTAATTCAGACGCACACAAAAAACTTTGATGAAGTTTTTTTTTTCATCTACAGGTATTGAGTGTGTTCAAAAACTGATTCAATTCCTTCGCTTGTACATATGATTTATCTGTTGTAGCCTTCGATACTTCTCATTATCATAAATATCAATCACGAGTAAAATTGTATACAATAGAGTAAGAAACTTTTTTTATAATAGCATTATATTACCGTATGTACAGTATAAAAGCAAGGACAGGATCAGGGATGATAAAATAAGACGAGTGGTAAAAAGCGTATACCAGTATTGCATTCTATGGACGTCGTAAAGTAGGCTGCAATGCAGCTATGTTATTCTAAACCCCCGTTAAAACATAAAATATACCAAGACACTTATACTACGTAATATGATTTCCTAATATTATATTAATTCTATAAAATGTTTTTATTGTTTCCAATTTAGGATGAGATAAAATGGAGGATAAGTGCTCTTAAAATTCGTTTTAATACTACGTTCTCGGAAAACAAAATAATATTTGATCTCTTAAACAAAGTTAACAAGCACGTCCATGCTTTGCAATTATCCCGAATAACGCGTTTAATTGTGTGCGAGACATCAAATAAAGTACCTATATAACTCGCGTATATTCGGGCATAAGTTAATTGTGTGAATAATGCGCAAACGGCAACTGGTCTCACTTTCATATTACCGGGACTGGAGGAATATATATCTGTGTATAGTATACACAAGTATACACGTACTTTAAGCTAGTCAGTGAAACGAGTTTGTTTCGCTCGCAGACCTTACAATCTCTTTTACAACCTCTTTTACAATCTGCAATTTTTCAACGTACATTTCACAGATTTTGAGATTGACAGAATTTTTATCATCTAATATCTAATATAAGCGAAGAAACAAACTTGTCAATTAACCATCTTTTTTTCTTTTGTTCTTGAGTTTTTTGTTTTTTTTTTTGTTTTTTGTTTTTTTTTTCTCCGTGAATTTCACACCGCTGAACGAAAAGAAATAACGAATAATCTTTTAATGAGATTTATTTTGATCCAGCATGCACGAATACTATCTTTTTATAACAGCGTTATGCTGAGATCTTTGCCGAGCCGTAAAAGAATTCATTAGAGAAAAGCTCTGCCGAAGAATTGTCGGATATTTGTCTATCGTTGTTATAGAATGAGATTTTGTAAACGGTAATATTACAATTTTTAACAAAATTTAATAAAAGAGAAGATAGAAAATGTAAATCTAATGAGATAGAGATAACATACATATATAGTTATATATATATACATATATATAATTTAATTAAGAGATAGCAACCACCGAAGTTACGTCCGTAAAAAGTTTGCTATAAGAATTATAATATTCTAAATTATGCAAATAGAGAAAGGCCTGGATCATTTTGAAGGTGTTATTGTTATTTTGCAAGTTCAAACAATTTCTGCCGTTTGGTCAGATTTTGTTGTTGCAATTATGAGATGAGGAGAAATGAAATTATCTTGTTTGTTCTTGCGAAATGATACTTACGAGATTTCGCGAATGCATATTCGCGAAGTTTCCCAATTAAAAACGAGCTTACTCGTACATTATTATTATTATTACTATAAGAGACATGCCACTTAAATATTTAATGCATTATGTAAAATGGCTACTTAGTCTATAAAGATATTAAGTTTGTATAAACATAATGAAGAATTGTAAATTGGAGTTGGTAGAAATGGCTTGTTGCAATGTTACACGAGTACATGACGCATAGATTCGTTTGCTTTTAGTTGTACTTTTTTGCAGCTTAAGATGAAATAACTGCATATGCACAGACGTCGCGGATACGTGCACATTATTCGCAAAAATATCTAATGTTTGAAGAATTTAAAAAAAAAAAACATAATTTTTCAGCGAGTTTAAGATTCTGTGGTACATTTCGTACATATTCGCGAGTAAGAATCATTATCACGGGATGAACAGCTGTGTGCACATGTATTATAATGCCATAGATAAACTTGAAATCAATGATATTGTATCGATTTTCATCAAGAAAAAGAAGACGCAAATTGTAAAAAGTGCAACTAAAACGATAATTTTGCATTCGAAATTCATATTCTATACGCGAAATCCATATACGTAATACACGTGAGAATTTTAGTGTATTATGTATATCTTGTATAATGTTTAAGATTGTCAGATGAGGAAATTCTTAAAAAAATATTAATCAAGATGATAGTAGAGACAGTACAATTGACAGTACAGTAATACGAGGTGTGTCTCAAAAGTAACGAAATTCTTATGCTCGAGGTGGCAGACATGTGCAGGTATAAAGGAGCCACGTTGATGGGGGTACACAGGCATATATACAGGCAAACCTATTTCAATCAATTCTGTGCTCTCATAGCGTCAAGATCATTTGTTGTACAAAGTTGTGCTCAAGTACCTCGTCACGAAAAATAGTTTTTACTAATTATAAAAATTATTTAATTTTTATAAATTTAAACACATTAAATGTTTAAAAATTTTTAATAATTACACAGACCGACAAAAAATATTTTTGCCAAGTCTAATCAGAGTAGGTGTACTCTGATGAGAAATCAGCGATTTTTCATTTTAAAATTCAAAATAACTTTAAATTCTGACGTGATGAAGCAATTTGAACAGCGGCATTGTTTTTGGTGCCTGAAAATCTATAAGAAACACTTACTCTGATTAGAGTTACTTGATAAACATTTTTTTTGTCGGCCTGTGTTATTAAATATTATTAATATATTATTAACATATTATATTTTT